TTTTTTTAAATTCCACGCGGAAATTCGCGGACGAAAGCTAGTACTTCATGAAGTCCGTTACAGTCAAATTTGTAGACGAAACTTTAGATGCTTGTACACTCACACTGAACACAAAATGAATGTGCGATTTCTAAATAAAACTGTACTATAATGTTAGCTTATAAATTGAAAAAGAATAAAACATTACTTCCAATATAGATAGCGACCACCGCCGATACCGACGCCGGGAGAATTCTTTAAATATATCCAAGAGAATCGACAATGAGTCAAAGAAAACTTCAGCGTAGATTTTATTCAGAACTAATGTGGGAAGGAATCAACACTTTGAATAGGAACTAGTTGAACTGACGCTGCGATGTGAAATCTTTTGGTCAATTCACATTTAGAAGTATTTCTGCAGCTTTGTGACTTTAAAATTTATTGCGTTTAAAGATTATGTTTGCAAAGTGAAAATAAAAGATGTTCTCACCGTAACCATTGTAGTAGCCGCCGTAGAGGGGCTTGCTGTAATAGCCGAGGAGGTTCCCGCCGTAGCCGTAGTCCCCGTAGCCGAGACCGCGGTACCCGTAGCCGAGACCGGACAGACCGCGCTTCTCGGTCTTCTTAACGTTGTCCGCGAACACCGCACTCATCGCCAGAGCAGCAATCAGCTAAAAAAAAAAGTTAAGACATTTCGTCACTTTACTTCAATAACTTTCATGTTCTAACAAAGGTGGGTTAGGTTCTAACACCAAAACATAATTATTACACATGTCAAAAATAAACTACAAAAATGTCGACAGTTAACCAGCTCGGTGTGTCGAGTACATTATAGCTACGTGCCAATGACACACTTAGCACAAACATCACCAAACCTCACTTCCTTAGCCAAACAAAGTGTCGCTTTTGCAACTCCAATTTGATATTGTTCGATTGTCTAACACTTGTGAAATTTCCTGCTATTTTTTGGACTTCGGGAAAACAATTATACCTTTCTCTATCCAATAATGTCGGCAATTTCCTTTGATTCATTAGCCACTATTGTTCATTTTGATTAAATTCGTTAAGAAATCTATTAAGTAGTGTTGAAGAATACCTTTGTTTACTAATTAGATAAGAAAGAATAGACCCGCATGTTCGCTGTGAAAAGATCCGAGTACAAGATAAAACATTTATGCACGTTGCAGGAGAATGTACCTAATGGAGGTTATTAAAATGTGTATAAGACATAAAGAAGTCTCGAACATTTGAGGAAAGTAACTAAGAAATCGAGTGAAATGTAGAACACTATACGACTTTTGTGCTTAATCATCCTAACAATATAAAAAGACTTGGAGATCAAAATGTTTTTTCAATCATAAAGTCGTGCAAATTTTTTGAAAAATTGTGGATAACCAACAATATTCGCAAACTGTGTACTCGTCGTTTTGCCTCCAAATTAGGCGGTGTCAAACATTAGGGGCTGATATAGTGGGCTCGAATTATGATAATCTGGCACACAACCTTGGGCAAAGCGTCAGGGTTGGAACTGTTATGCTAATATGATACTTTCCCGGATGGTGCGTACGTGAGGCTTTGTATTCCCTGATGAAATTCACAGAATTACAATTACGTATCATTGTGCTGCCGTGCTCGTATGTAGGGCTTGTTTTTTATTCCCACATATTTTAAGAGAATTGTCAATGCTTATAAATTAAATGACTAAAGTTATATGAACAGTGACCCCGGGACCCAAACCCATTTGAAAGACATTTGAAAGGATAACAATTTGTCTTATGCAAAGATATTGTTTATTTAAAGCTACAAGGGCTGAAAAATGCAGACTAACGCATACTGGACATAGTTACTGGCCACACACTGATTTGATGCCTCTAAATTTGAAATAAACAATAGATATCTTACCAAGAATTTCATGGTGATTGATTTGTGAGTGGTGCAGTGGTGAAGGTTGAGAGAATACTCGGCGACTGATGCCTTGCTGCCCCGCTGACTGCTTTTATACAAACACCACGGCGACTTCAATTTACTAGGCTTTTTCATTGTCCAAGGATGTTGTGAGGTATGCGCCACCGCGCGGCCGCGGGCGAGGGCGCGGGCGTAACGCACACGCTGGATACCGCTTGGACTGATACGACGTTCAGCGTTGATTGTCAATCGTTTGAAAACGAGAATAATTGGATTCAAATTTTTGAATAGTATAAAATGTGATTTAATAAACAATTTAATTTAATAAAAATTAACAATTTAACAACGTTTGAGAAACAACACACAAAAAGTTCAATTTCATTTCATCCATACATTAAGACTAGTTAAATGTACATTAAAATAATCTAAGTTCTAATGAGTCTGGAGAAAAGTCATCATTAAAGGTAATATTATGAGTGATATAGGCTATTCAGACATAACGCGTGACGTCACTAATGTCTCACGTAGACACGTCCGACGCGACGAGGCAAGGGAACAACATGCTTTGTTCAATTTGAATTTGCATGAAGTAAAAATGTAAATTTGATATCGTCCAGTGAGTTAATATGACACGACCGAACGTCGGACGTGCAAATGCTACCTCGTCAAATACGATCAAATTAATTTCAAACATGCCTATATGACAGTTTTCATTTACTACACAACATAAATGTAATAAGTTTTAAAGCCAATGAAGGAATAACAGTGTCCTAGAATGTGTGCGAGTAAGGTGAGTGTTGCCAATTTATTTAATAAACTAAAAACAGCCTATCATAAAAACAATTGAAAAACGGTACTTTGCAAATTTTTGTCATTGCAGTTGTTCCTATAAAAGTTGGCGCATAAAAAAATTTATAAATATAACAATACAATACGTGGCGTTTCCCACGATAGCCGTTTTATTGAGACTACGTCCTTTGAAGGCGGTGTAATTATTTTTTACTGAGGTTCTTTTTAACATTGGTGAGACGATACGTGACAAGAATCGTACCTACAGCCCGACATCTGTTGGTCAGTTGTCGACTTAATACAGATCAATAACATTAAGTGCCTATATCTTTAGATCATACCTAGCATCTAAATCTCTAGGATATTACTCTATAATGATTTAAGTATCGAACACAAAAAAAAAATCTATCATATAATAGCTTTAAGAGGTCACTCAATCATAACAATATTATAAATGCGAATGTTTATATGGATGGATGTTTGTTAGCCTTTGTAGCCTAAACGGTGGAACGGATTATGATGAAATTTGGTATAGATGTAGAGGATAGTCTGGAAAAACACATAAGCTACTCATTTTTATTTTTATTAATAACACGCAGACGGAGTCGCGAGCAAAAGGTAGTAGTCTATAAGTTCTATTTGTCTAACTCAAGAGCCGTATTGCAGAGTTCAATATGCATTGTTCGGGGACGACCTCGTCACTGCTGCGCTGGTCACTGTACCATCAGAGAACGTGACCATTTTACGCTCCACAGACCATAGATATAATAAATGAAGATCGTCAATGGACCACAAACTTAAAAAAAATCAATGAGAGTCTGTGGTCATTATTTGTACTTTACTTGATGCATGTCGATAGACTTAGGGCCTCTGTTTTATGGCATATCAAAAGGTTAACTAATTTTATAGCTCTTAAAATAAATATTAGGTCCTCAATAGACAGCACGAAATGTTTCAGCAGACCAAAAAAAGATTTTTTGTTACTTATTTTAGGCAAATTAATTTTGTTAACATGGCGTGTAATTACAAAGTACGAGATAATTAAGGCAAATAGATGTAACTTCAAATATATCGCTTGTTTCTATGAAGAAAAAAATTCCATGAACAATATTATCTACAAATTGCTACAAGAAATCCATACAGTATTCTCACAATTTATATCGTATAAAATATTAATTAAGACTTCCGTTTGCTAATTTAGCACTACAAGGTATTTAGATTTTTTTTGATAATTTATGAAAATATTACTATTATACTTTGAATAAAAAATAATGATATAACATAGGTTATGCGAAAATTACTACAAATTTGAAATTCAAGTACAGTCAATGCCAACAATCCTGTGAATACATTTTACCTTTAAATGTCGGAACTTAAAAATACAATGCATTATAATAAAACATTTCCGTGAGACAGTTTAAAAAAAACCTTCATCAAAATATACTTGTATTACAATTGTGAAATTACGAGTTACGTTAGATGTTTACTGAAGAATTCGTTTATTTAATAATCCTGTAGGAAAGTTTGTTTCTCTCGGACCTGACAACCCTATCCTTACGATAACTTCATTTGTAAATATTTGGGCATCGCCAGGGCTGTGCCAAATATTTTGCAAATAGACACGTAAAACTTTCAGAATTAAATTATCATACCCAAAATTGTCAACTTTTTATAAAGCGGAGTACTTTAAACATTTACAAGTTCATTGGAATCTAATTCTAGAAATGTCTATTTTAATTCGTATATTCATATTGACTTAAAAGTGATATCTCGGCAACCCTATAGCTATAATGAGGTAACAACAGATTGTGTCAGAGGCAGAGGGCCGGTGTGTATGGGACACGTTTGTTTGATACTTTGTTGTTACGTATTTTATGTCAATCTCATGTTTCCGCTACGTGTGATTTAGACGACCCTAGCTCAGGGACTGACTTATATTTTAGTTATCAACAAAAAATACGTATATACTTATGATGCTTACATGCTGCTTACATAACCGGTAGAGATAGACCTAGGAAGAGATGTATGGATTGCGTAAAAGGTCTAAAAGGGACATGATCTAAAAGGGAATGATTACTGAGATGACGATGAGAAGTACAGATGTCCCACATTAGCGTTACTCGATTCATATTTCTCATTCAAACTCTCCTTATCGCCTGTCTATCGTCTCCGTATTTCTCTAGCTATTTTGCATCCCAAATGCAACAAACATTAGTAATTAATACTGATATCAAGTATGTAAAACTTCTAGTAGATTTTACAAAATGTTTAGTTATACTGTTGCTCCAAAACTGTCCTTAGAACTTTTGCGTGTGTTCGCTATTCAAACTGACGCATTTAACGCGCACGCAACATATTACGACACGAAAACTTTAGACTTCGGACAATGTCTTTATTGAGTGCGTGGATAATATTATTAACTATACCCTAAGAATTTAATATTTTAGCTGTATTATATTGTTGCATGGTTCAATTTCACGTTTGTAAAGCTAGTTTAGTTGAGTTGTACAAGTTTTATGTAAGCAACAAATAGCAATAATGTTTACGCTTTTAGCTTAAGGGCAAAATATTTACAACAAAAACATGTAAGAATAAAAAATAGCAAATATGTAAGATGAAGGAAACGTCGAAAATAACCGAGTTTATAATTATTATTTTTAATTGAAAAAAATTAAGTCCAAAAATATAGTGGTCTAGTGACGTCACATTTTTCTCACAGCTTAAATGTCTCATATTAAAGCAGCTTGTGTGTCCGTCAGTACGTGCTGCGTGGCTCGCACTCTGCGGGGTCAACATTACAACTCGCTATTTTAAGAACAATAAACATTATGTGTCGTTAGAGCGTAATATTATCAAAATAATATATGACACACGCTGTTTCATGCTAATTTGGACAATAATAACTGTTATGTATATTTTACAATTATTATTACAAAAAATGCATGCGAGCAATATTTATTACTTAATTTCCAGCTTTACAAGAAACTCGGTAGGTACAGATCTCGATTGCCACCAATTGACTACAATCAAATTCTTAAGTCGGTGATTTCATATTGCATGCAGGTGTCAGTATTTCAATATTCAATATTTATTACGGCTCGTCGTTAGCCGCGAGCATGTTTGCATTATTGTAATCCAGAAGTCTACTGCGCGTGGAGGATAGTTGACACAGTGGTATCCCATGTGTCTAGATGATACCTACCTAAAACTGTGTTGCATCCAGCGTCGAGTCGTGTCAATTGCGAGCAGGCAAAAAGTTTGTATAGCACTATACTTACATTGTTTGTCCATTAGACCGCCTGGGCCTGATGGAGGACTTAATGACTGGACTTGATTGATCACCGAACATCACGTCCTTTTAAATTGATTACATTACAAGTTATATGTACATTTGTTTATTGCTTGACGTCCGATGCGTAACGAAAGTGATTACTGAATTACTGACTGCTGCTCAGCAAATACAAATGAAAGGTAAACTTCGGTTTTACTTATATTTTAAAAATAGTTATAATCAGTCACGCAGGTCTTTACAGTATTCCCTGTATAGTATAGTGTTCCCGTGCGGCCTCATCTGAATGAAATAATAAAAAAAATATTGTTTGCATTTGTCAAATTCGCATGTCATGTTACTCGGATAACGTAGCTTTTGTATGGTAAAAAATTTTTAGAAATTGACCCAGTAGTTTTTGAGTTATTTCAATACTTACAAAAACAAAAATCTTCCTCTTGATGACATTAGCATAGAAAATAGAAATTAACATTAACATTAACATTTGCTTGTAATATTTCATTTCAATACTCATATTGTTTTTTTCATGATCACAATCATCTTTCGCTAGTAATCCATTTTTTTCATTGAGCTTATAAAGTGGCCAAAAACAGCGTCAGTTAATTCGACACCCGCCTCTGCGATAGTTGAGGCGGGAGCGAGCGGAGTGTAATCAAAGAGATCATATCCCAAGTCATCACTCGCTGTTCAGTCGAGTCAGTTAAGACCCTCCTGATGGCAATGAGAATTTGTTCCGCTGACCGCCACACGTTTCCGACTGTGGCATACAATAACGCGATATAAAATACTACTAGCGCCATCTATTATTATTTTTCTTAACTATATCACTAACCTAATGAAGTCATCTCTTCACTTCGTAAAATTATACTTTTAGTTTTAAAATACAATACACATCTTAAAATATGTGCACGGCATATTATAACTTATAGGCTGATTTAAAAATTTGGTTATGATACAATTTCAAAACTACTAACGCCATCTAGTGGTAAATATCGTATACTAATAAAAACATTTTTGGTACAAAAATAAAACTTTATTCCTTAAAACATAATAATATTAATGTATTACATCCAATCTGAAAAGTAATTTGTGGATTATTTTATTTTAATTTTTGTTCTCGCGTAACGCACCAAAACAAAACAAAGTAATATCAGGAAGTACGTCTTTAGATCTGTCTATGATTGAATCTCGCAATAAAGGATCTGTTTAAATCTAAGTAATGCGGGGACACATTTGGGGATAGTATAACAAATCGATTATTCTTGAGACGCAGTGTCTGTTTTAGAGTTATTTTACCTCTGGAATTTATTGTACTTTTAAAACGCATGCATATTGAGACACGAGAAAAAGATTTTCGTCTTTATATGAATAATTATTGTCTTTGAAGGGTAATCTAATAATGGTAAAAATGTGTTTAAAATGTACAGAATGATATATTATGGACATAGACATTTGCTTTAAAAAAAATTAGGTAAAGCAAACACCGTATAATTTGCTTTTTAAATTTTACAGGCGCTAGTTTCAAGACATTTATTCTAATTTCACGCATCTTCATAATAATGTTTAACTTGATTATTAAAAATATTTGAAGTCTTCAAATTTTGTGGCCGCTGCTAAACATACTTGCTCGGTCGTATACGGACCATCTGAAAAATATTTACAAAACTGAATAACTTTTTGATAACCTTTTCAGGTTTGCTTGTGTTAGAAAAATGTTAAAGTATAAAGTTAGTTGAATCTTACCGATTTGGAACCACTGAGTTGCCGGAATGCCTGACTCCAGTCTCGCTGCAGAGATTGCTTCCCGCATCGCCAGCGGTATTGCTACCGCTAACGAAGTGCCAGGTTCCCCCGTAGCTAAAACGTAATTAATTGTTACATTTATTTTGACAACAATAACTTTTAACACACAAAATTATACACCGCTTAGGACATATATTTAATACCTTTAGCTCCGAGATACATGTTGGTGCTGTAAGAATTCTCTCTGAAATAAATTCGGAAATCTTGCGCGATGTCCTTAGCTTGAGGCAGCCAGTAGTTCCAGGCGCGGTCGGAGAGCACCTCGCCAGTGGTCGGTTCATATTCCATTTTCTCACACGTCCAATATCCTAGTCCCATGATAAAAGCTCCTTCTATCTGCCAATAATTAATTCAACTTGTACTTACTGACTTATAACAACAGAGATAATTAGCTAATACTTACTTGTCCTATGTCTATTTCAGGACTAACACTTTGCCCTACGTCTTCTAACAGATCTACTCGTTTTATTTCAGATTGTCCGGTTAAAATATCGACTTCGACTTCAGTCACAATAACACCGTACACTTGAGAAGAATTCTCTTCTCCCAAATTAAGAATTCCTCGACCTTGAAGATCAATGTTAGATTTATACGCTTTGTAAACGAGCTCCTCCCAAGTGGGGTTTCCACCCATTTGTTGCTTGATCGGTTCCAACCTTCGAAGTATATCTTCGCAAGCTCTCTGGACACACAACGCGACATTGAGTGATGCCACACTACCTGAAGTAGGAGCAGCATTAGGAGAAATAATTGTATTTTGTCCTTTCACGAGAATTTTACTTAAGGGTATTTGGAGAAAGTATGCACATATCTGAGCGAGCTTGGTGTTGATACCCTGCCCTATCTCTATAGCTCCGTGAGTGATGGAAACAGTACCGTCGTCGGAATACACAGATACGGTTGCAGACGTAAACGTAGTATTGAGAGCCGACCACCTCATGAAAGCGACTCTCAAGCCGCGCTTCAGCCATCTATTTTCCGAATTGAATTTCTGCACGGCAGCGCGTCTATCGTCATATTGTGATTTTATTTTTAAATCGTCCCACATTTCCTGAACTGCATTATAGGACAGGTCTAGGTTGGCTAGGCGAACTTGTACCGGATCTAGACTCATTTCATAGGAAATTCTTTCCATTATGAGCTCCGCGTTTGCAATCGCTTCCAACGACCCTGCAAAGAAGTACATATGAAGTCCAAATCACAATTAAATACAATAATGTGTTCTTAATATTTCTCACCTGGAGAGCGGCACCAAGAATTGGACGCGGTGTCAGTAACGACATTATACAAGCTGAAGTTCCAAGTGGTTTTATTGTAGCAGTTGTTGCAGAGCGGGGCGGCGAGCATTATGAGGGGTTCGTTAAAAATATGCCCGTTGTCAGTGTACAAGTTGCAATTCAAGTATTGAACTACACCTGTGTTATTTACACCCACCTGAAAAATAATATCTAAAGAAATATTGGAAGCGACAAAAAATACAATGTTACTCCTAATCGGCAGACATTTATAGCGTAAACTTTTAAATTACGTGACGTAGTGCATATATTTGACAAAAACTTAGTACTTTCTTGGATGCTGAAATGTACCTCATAATTCGTCGTACAAGGACACCTTTTGCCGACGGCTCTGAGGTTGGTGGTGAGGTGCTGCACGAAGCGACAGGGCTGGCGGCCACCGTGCCCTGATTGTTGCGGGTCAGTTTGTACCCATACGCGCCGCCCACTTGGCGGACGTACACGTCTATCCTGTGAGCGAAGTCTTCTTATATAATGCCAGTTAAAGTCATAAAATTAAATAAAACAATCGTGTAAATTCTAATAGGTGTTTTATTAGTGTCAGTGGACGAAATGTAGAATAAAAGATCTGTATTTCTTTCCATGCTTCGTCCGTAAAAAATTCAATAACACTAGACAAAAACTTCGTAATATTTATGAAGATTATTTGCCAATCACAAAACTGAAGTTGAGCACAACACTTTCCCCCGTATTAAAGTAACACATAGTAATAAGTGTAATCAATGTTAGTAATGAACTTTTTAATATTATATTTGACTTACTTGTTTAGTGGCATATTTAAGGCTCGAGAAATGGCAACCTGTACGCCCATTGACAGTTGAGTTGCCGCGTGAACTTCTAATCCATCTTCCGAGGGGATAGAGACGCTGCACAAAGTTTCCATACAAAATGGATATTGTTGATAAATAGTCATGGAACCATTTATCACCTTCGATACATCAGTACCTTTGTTTGTTGCTGTTACTGAAGTGTAAAGACTTAGTCTGTTAGGATCTTGAACAGCTTCCTTAACGTCTATAACTGGTTTCTTAACATTGCTGTAAGTGACGTCGACGAGGTTGGCAGCTCTGTCCGCGATGTGTTGCGTTTCTGCCACGATCACACCTACAGGTTGATTGTAATATTGTACTTCACTGCTGCAAAATATCTCTTCATTTTTTAAGAAAAACAAATCGTCAACTGGACTGAATGAGTTAAGTCCGGGTACATCTTTGGCGGAATAAAACGCTACAACTCCTTTTTCTTGCTGAAAAGTTGTAAAGAAACACATTACAGTCTCCTTTTTTAAATCCATTTTTTTATATAAACTGCTCGTCTGATAACACATTTATTTTACTGAAATATTTTATTGTTTAAAATCTTACCAGTGCTTTGCTAGGATCAATAAGTTCTATATGTCCCAAAGGTACTGTACTTAGTACAAATGATATAAAAACTTCATTTTTGATCGGCGGCAAGTCGTCAGTATAAATGGTTTCACCAGAACACTGCCTCTGAATAAAATCAAAGATATTCATGTTTTTACGACATCAACTAATATGTTTAATTAGATGGCAGTGTAGTAAAGAAAATACCAAGGTATTACGAATGTTCTTACTTCATCAAAGGAATTTTAATCGTTGATTAGATTATTATCAGTAACATCATATTTTCTTGTATAATAAAGATCATGTAACTCACCAGCGCCTCGATCTTGGGAATGGGTTTGGTGAGGGGCCACAAAGTGGGGTTTGTCTGTATGTGCTGGCTGCCGCGGCTCGCGGGCCGCGTGTCGT